ATAAAATATTATTTATATGAGTATATATACTACATCTCTTGTACAAGATCTTCTATTAATTATAAATTTGATTCCAATTTTTTGCAATATTAGAAATATATATTGATGATAATCAGGATTCCCCTTCATTTTTCATAAATGATAAATCCTTATCTGAAACATTTATGATTTACACAAAATGTATGCAACATCCACATCATGTTTTATGTATATTTTGTTCTTATATATTCTAGATGATAAGTCCCAGATTACTCAAAGTCGAAAAATGGTTCGGTACAAAGAAAGAATTAGCCGCTGTTCGTACCGTATGTTCTCATATTGAGAACATGCTCAAGGGTGTCACAAAAGGCTACCAATATAAAATGCGAGCTGTGTACGCCCATTTCCCCATCAACTGTGTAACTACAGAGAACAACTCAGTTATAGAAATTCGTAATTTCTTGGGTGAGAAGTACATACGCCGTGTTAAAATGGCACCAGGTGTAACTGTTACAAATTCTGGAAAACAAAAGGACGAGCTGATCATAGAGGGAAATTCGTTAGAAGACGTATCTCGTTCAGGTAAATAACTTCAAATCATTTCTTTAAATAAATAAATGTGTGAAGAAATTAATTCGTGAAATACTTTATGAATATTATATGGTTCTATTTCAGCTGCCCTCATCCAACAGTCAACGACAGTGAAAAATAAAGATATAAGAAAGTTTTTGGATGGTTTATATGTATCGGAAAAAACAACGGTTGTACTAGATGATGAATAAATTCCTCATCTAATTACATCTAAACAATTAATTATGTTAACGCATATTAATCGTTATTGACCTAAAACCATAATAAATGAACAGTTTTCTTTTTTTATTATTTCCATTGACGATAGTCTGATACAACTGTACTCAGCAATAGGAATGGCTCAACACATGAATTTATGCACATATAAGAGCATATATGCTTTTTCTATATGCTTTAACATGCGTTTAAATTCATATGTTAAGGCATTCTTACCCTATGTGTATGTAGAAAAAAAATTACATGCGGTGTACTCAAATTAAGTGCATTGTATGCAGTATTATTAATCGAAGAAAAAAAAAATTATATGATATATATTATTATTATTATTATTAGCTTATTAAAATGCGCAGTCAATGTGAAGATTATAAAACTCGCGCGCAATTTATTTTTTATTTATTATTGAACTTTGTCTCTTTGACTTGAACAAAACATTATTATGTAATTTGACGTATTTAAGTGCAAAAGTTAATGATGCACTTTTATTAATTAAAATTTTCATTATTAGATTATAGTAAAAATATCTTCATTATTTATAGCAAAAAGCGCATGGAAGCGTGATTGATATAAATGCGAGATCGGGTTAACGGTCATTGTGAAGTACTTTACTGTGATGATATCACATCGTTTGTAACGAATTGCATTTATTTTAGCGATATCAACGGTATTATTTCATTTTATACGTGAAAACGAAACATTTGCAATGTGAGACAAAGTAATACTGTCTTTTCAGTATACTTTAAGGAAGTTTTATTTTATTTTTGCACTGGTACGTTTTTGGAGATTAATAATCTCTTCAACAACGATTTTTTTATATATTCTGTAAATATAAAATGATGAATATGTTATAAAATTTCAATCACACGTGATAGACATTTGTTTACAAAACTGTAAAACAAGTGCATTTGCTTGCGATTTTTATATAATTGCAAAAATCGGATCGCGAATACAATAATGAAATCTATGTATATGTTACATGATATATATATTATAGACTTTTTTTTTATTCAGTTTTTTTATGCAGAAACAATTCGAGAAAAGGAATAAAAGAGCGACGCTGAAAAATGCATGTTTTTTTTGTTTTTATATATTCAAAAGTAATATAAAAGCTCGAGTTCCTCCCTACGATCTCGCAATATCAATCGAGGCTTTCACTTTTCTATTGGCTACTGATTACACATACAACATAACAATACTTTTGAAAAATCAGTGTGATATAGCGTACGTCAATATATATATATATATATATCTACATATATCACATGGCAAAATAAACCAAGATCAAATGAAAGTAGAAGATAAAGAGACCGGAAAGAGTAAACTAGATTATGCTGTAATATGTAACACAGAAACAATAGTCCGGAAAACATTAAAGTGGAAGGGAAGAGATAATAATAGACTAACTAGAATACATTTGTTTTTACAGGCAAATTGCAAAAATATAATATCTCGTCAAAGTTAAAATAGAAGAAGGTTATTGCGATAAAATAAATGACATATAGAGAACGCATTAAAAAGCTACAATATGACTATAATTCATTAATTTTCGGTTTTATTCTTAATTTGTTTCGGCAAAACATCATAAATTATCTGCATCAGGAATTAAAGAAAAATAATATTTATTATATTTTATTCGAAAAGAAGGACTATGTAAATTAATGTGAAACCAAAGGATGTGATGTGTGCGCTTCTTTTTTTGAAGGTTGAATTTTTCGCTTTCAATCAGCACTGCTCTGAAAGACTATAAAATCGCGGTACCAGAAATTACAGAAAATTCTTTAGCCAATTCGATTATCGCGATACGAATAATATGTCTCTATATATGCATCTGAGAATAACAATTCTTCGAATACCAGAACGCATTGCGTAAGTGGTCAACGTTACCGCTTATTGTACATTCGATTTGTACCTTTGGACTATTATATATATATATATATATATATATATATATGTTTATAAGATTATACCTTTGGTCCGTAGTATATCTCGGTTTCGATCTTACATTGTCCCTCTTTTTATATTATACTAAACTTTGTGTTCTCCATACAATACAAGTGTTACACGTACTTTTAATAGCAATTATATAGACGTATAAAAAATTATCGGACTGTGATAACCGACAGGTGCAGGCGACTTCCGAGCTCGAAACGTTTTAATCAACTTCAGTAATATTCTAACGTGGCAAGAAGAGCTTGGAAAATAATGTTAACTAATATATATATATATAATGGTGGGTGTATGTGTGTGTGTGTGTGTGTATGTGAGTATAAAGAGAGAGGAAGGGAGATTTGGAAAATCGTGTCATCGAAAATTTGAAGATGCGTTTTTTTATATGATTTAATTGATATATTTTAATCAGACTTTTCAAATTCTCACATTATCAGATTAAATAGAATGATCATTTTAATCATAATAAGTAGACTAGCAACATATGTGAATATTTCTATTTATTTCTATAAATTATTTATTAAATAACGAGCCAAATAATTATAAATTAATCCAACGATTACGATTATCACATATAGATAAGATTTATTATCATATCAAAATTTGATTTGTTATTCAAGTGTTTCGATACGTGCTTGAATATGAAAGCAAGCTGAAAGAAGTCTTCAACAATTCGTTTTGTCAGCACATACTATGTTACTTATTATTAACAGAACTCTTATATCTTTCAGTAGAGTAAAATTTCTCTAAAATTCATTAGCTTTCTTTGTCGATAATATATATTTTTTTTAAGACGAAATAAAAAATTGAAAGTACTTTTTAGCCTACAGCTCAAATATTTTAATAAATTAAAAATTAGTCCTTTTTTTAATAAATTGAAAATTAGCATCCTTTTCACCGAAAATATTATTATATATTATTTTTTTAAGAGAAAATAAAAAATTAAAAGTATCTTACGGCTCAAATTGCAAATATTTCAATTACGTTTCGGAACATTAGCTATCGCAGGAGAGGAGAAAGATTGATGTAACATATTCGCCGGAGTGGGGGATTCGAGTGAGATAGAGATAGGAAGAAAAGCGGGAACCGTTGTCTTGGAGTCGGTACTCTACCCTCGGTCGTCGACAGTCCGCGTCCTGGTGTCTGCGCCTTATTGTTAGAGAGGGAATTCCGAAGAGTGTAGTGTACGGTCCGTATATGTACCGTAAGTATATCATTACTTTTAACGAGCGCACTTCACAGTTTCACTTTGCAATCGCGTACGCAACATTATTGCTCTTATATAAAATTTACACACGATATATATCCGAAAATTTTATATAGAAGCAATAACATTTATATGTATTTATATATATATATATATATATATATATGTGTGTGTGTGTGTGTGTGTGTGTGTTTTTTCACATTCCTCTCTTTTTTCTAATACGATTTTAAGTTTCCTGCATATTCGATGCGTCAAGCATATCGCATAATGATTCTTCAGCATTATTTATGGCTAGAAGCTGGAAGTATGATTACCAAATGTCAAAAGTTACAAGTCAAGTTGTCTTATCACACTTCCGATGAACACGTGTGTGTGTGTGTATTTTCACATTCCGTTCACTTTTCTAATACGATTTTAAGTTTCCTGCATATTCGATGCGTCAAGCATATCGCATAATGATTCTTCAGCATTATTTATGGCTAGAAGCTGGAAGTATGATTACCAAATGTCAAAAGTTACAAGTCAAGTTGTCTTATCACACTTCCGATGAACACGTGTGTAATTTTGTTTTTCCTTGGATTCAAGATATATGAAATGCGCGGAAAAATTGTGAAAATGGCACATGTATCCACTTTATCTTCAGCCTTTTAAATTGATTCGGATATTTCGCTGAAAAATTAGATTTTATCTCTCTTCGTCACTCACGTGACACAAAAAGTTCAATTTTTTTAGGAAAGTTGCGCGAAAGGATTAATAACGAATTGATTGATTAACGCATGTGTCCTCCTCAAAATTGTACTATAATCTACATTTTACAAGCGCGCAAAAATACGTAAAATATTTAAAAATTGCAACACTTTTATCAAGATTGCAAAAAAGAAAAAAAAAACAATTAATTATTTGTCGAGACATTCGAAGATATCACATTCTGTCTATCAAATCTATCAAGTATTATATCTCAAAGGTCGCGAAAAGCGATGAAGATTAATATTGGCATCTCTATCAATATCCCCTACATTTGGCAAATTCGTCGAAAGTGCGTCTGTTGATATAAAAATTTAATTTTTTCGCTATTTCCAAGTGATAATTCTCTTCTACTCACGTTTATTCAACAGCCTTCTATCTGTGGCTTGTGTCACGTCAAATAATTTCACAGTCAACCAGACAGACATTTTATTGTTTGCGTTTGGTGTTAATGCAAGGAATTTATCTCTCATTTATTATAACTCGATTTATCGCAATCGTGGCTAATGAAAGGTCGTTGTCCCTTTGGTGGGGTTTTCACTCACGAGAGGAATTAACTGGCTTTCGATCGTTTGATAGAAATTCTATTTTTTTATAAAAAGACAAGCCGCTAAAAATATATCAAAGAACGCGCATGCTTTCGAACAGAATAATTATCTGAGTGAACGATCTAGAGCGAATATTTTTTACATACATATTCCCTTTCTTTTATATATAAGAGATTATATATTTTATTATAATATATACAAATATATCATGATTATATATATTTTTAACGGAACAAATGATCAAAATTTGCCATTAGTTAGGCTTAAAGCGGACGTCTTATCTCTTCATTGATTTTCATACGAGCTCTTTCATAGTAGCATCGCTTAAAGTTTCTGCATGTTTTTATAACGTTATATTAATAAAAGTACATACATGTAAAATGTGCTGTTATGTTAATTATAATTTTTAATTGCATGGAGACTGATTAAGAAAAATTCTAAATGTTCTAATATTAAAATGTCACGATAGAGTTTGAAAGAAAAAAGTTATAGGCAATTAAAATTAATCGCGTCCGAATAATCGCATCGCGTGTGAAAGAGAAATGACAAGTAAATTCAATGTTTGATTTTACATGTCTTTTCAAAGGACAGAAAATCTTCAGTTCACGTAACTCGTGTGCATAAGGTGTCGTTATAATGTACACGGAACTTTGATCGATTAATATTTTATCGGTTTGTGTAATATCCGTTATCAATAGGTGTCAATTTTTTTTCGAAATTTGTGAGAAACAATACGATTATCATTTTAAATTTTATATTTTTTCGGAGACTGTTTTAAAACAAATCTTATTATTTTCTTCTACGTGTTTAAAAGAAATTATAAATATATGTATAAGTTGTTGCAAGTATACATATATGAGTTTCGGCGAAAATTGATAATTTTTAATTTTAACATCCGTTATATCAATTCCATTTTTTTTTTTTTTTTTAATTTGTTCATTTTAATGTCAGACTCGTATCCAGCGATTTAAAAAAAAAAACTAATTTGAATAAACATAAAAATTACTTGATAAATCCTTGATATAATTCGTCACTTTCAGACTTCATATTTAATAAATATCTTATTAACATTTTATTATCATATTCTATAACTAATATTATACAATCAATTTCTTTTTTAAAAACTGAAAATTCCAACAATATATTATATATTTAACTTTGACTGCAACAAAACTTCTCTAATACGTTACATACTCTGATTATACGATAATATTATATTAATCTTATATTAATTATATTGAATTAGTTCATTTTTGGAACTTTAACTGCAAATTTCTCAAGATTGTGACGTACTAAAGCAATTTGAGAACTCGTATTCAGCATAAAAAACCCACAAATGGGGAAATGTCATTCTTTCTCGTGTGTTTTTTTTTTTGTTGAACTGTGTTATCAATAAATGTAACTGTGTTATCAATAAGTGCATCTGTGTTATCATAAATGCAATTATGTATATTCATAGCTAAAATTACATACAGTTTAAAATTCTTAACGTTATTAAAAATTAAATATAATCCCATTATTTTATAAGAAATATTGTATTTTACTGTTGTGTGTGTATGAAGGAATATTTTTTTATTAGAATAATTCTAATTTGAATAAACATAAAAATTACTTGATAAATCCTTGATATAATTCGTCACTTTCAGACTTCATATTTAATAAATATCTTATTAACATTTTATTATCATATTCTATAACTAATATTATACAATTAATTTCTTTTTTTAAAACTGAAAATTCCAACAATATATTATATATTTAATTTTGACTGCAACAAAACTTCTCTAATACGTTACATACTCTGATTATACGATAATATTATATTAATCTTATATTAATTATATTGAATTAGTTCATTTTTGGAACTTTAACTGCAAATTTCTCAAGATTGTGACGTACTAAAGCAATTTGAGAACTCGTATTCAGCATAAAAAACCCACAAATGGGGAAATGTCATTCTTTCTCGTGTGTTTTTTTTTTTGTTGAACTGTGTTATCAATAAATGTAACTGTGTTATCAATAAGTGCATCTGTGTTATCATAAATGCAATTATGTATATTCATAGCTAAAATTACATACAGTTTAAAATTCTTAACGTTATTAAAAATTAAATATAATCTTAACGTTATATTAATCTTAACGTTATTAAAAATTAAATATAATCCCATTATTTTATAAGAAATATTGTATTTTACTGTTGTGTGTGTATGAAGGAATATTTTTTTATTAGAATAATTAATGCATAACACTGCATTGTCATAGAAAAAACTGCTGAACAAAGATTGCCTTATGAATGCGTCAGAGTCAAAGTCTACATTTTTTTTTTTCTACAATGTACTTGCGTCTCGAAATCTCATCAGATTGTTCAATAAACTTTTTATTAATCGCTTTTTTGCTGAGATTGCAGAAAACAGATTTTATAAATATTATTAACGCATGCAATATGTAAATTAATCAGGGGGAAAAAAATTGTATTATCAATAAATTAACACAAGTCACTCAACTCATCTAAAGCGAATGCATCGTGCGTGGAGAGGAAATGTGAAGCGTGATTTTCCCGAGAGATGTAAACGTCCAGCCTCGCGCGGTTTGGATCTCTCCCCCCCCCCCCCCCCCCCCCCCCCCCCTCTCTCTCTCTCTCTCTCATGAACTTTGTACGCAACCATTCACTTTGTGTATACTATTAATCATCCGCTTATCTATCAATATGACACTTAAAGAGGACGCGGGAGTCATCCAATGAAGAATATATCAATCGAAAAAAACGTTTATTAGATGTCTATTAAAGACGTCTAAACTAATAAATCTCTCATAGACGTTTTTTTTGATCTATATTTCTCTCGGAGCAGTTTTTGAACAGAAGCTTTCTCGAGAAAATTTCTCCGATGCTCCGATAACGACGCGTGTGGACATCTATCCTTTATCAAGGGGCGCAAAGCACGCGCGTCAATGATAACGAGCGATGTTTTCTACTCGATCAGCGTGCCGTTGATTTGTACCAGGCGTATCTTTCTTTGTTCCGTGACTGTGATGACAAACGCGTCCGACTAAGCATATTATATCGACTATTCCTTACATCGAACAGTTTCGTTCTCTCCTTGACACAAAGTGTAAGGTCCGCCTTCTCGGATATTGCGTTCATCGCGCAGAGAATTTACGTGCCAAGGTAGCAGAGAACAAGATTTATAAAAGTGCGCAATCAAAAACATTCACTTTGGCTTGGTCCTTGCTTAATGTTTCCTAATTCTATGTAAATCTATGTAAGTTTGTTTATACCTTATATATATCTTTCTTTCTAAAACTCTGATGCAACTACAAGATCATTTTTAATCTGAACAATATACGTTAGAATGTTTGAATCCTTACGAAATGTAGCGCCGCGAATCCTTGCGTTTTTGTAAACATAATAAATTAGGATGCATATTAATCGAAAGAAGAATTGCTTTTTGTGAGTTGCAAAATCTCTGAGAACGAAATGTCTGAAGAAAAAAGAATAACTTGTATGGCATTGTGCATTAAGATTAACTATTCATGAAAGAATTTCATACATTAGAACTTTCTCTCTCTCTCTCTCTCTCTCTCTCTCTCTCTCTCTCTCATTGTACACATATGTGTAGATATCCTGAAAAATATTGAAGAGTCAGTTCAAAGAATGTATACAATGTGTGAAAAACGCTGGGAAATTTTTATTGATATTTATAACTATTTGCATTCAGCTATATAATCACTAATCGATATATCACACAACATTAAGTGGAAACCTGTACTAGATCATATTAGATTATTAGAAGAACCCGAAAAAATTTGCTAATTATTTAATAACCGTGAAATACAATAATTATTACAATCTTGTGGAAACATGTATCGGACGTAACAATAGTATAATATATAAAACCGTTTAGAGAACTAATCATGATGAGATTGTGAAAATAATAATAGACGTCAAATGATAAAATTAACTTGTGCGAGAAATATATCGCCTGCATAGTTATGTAATATAATAGCGTAGTAATTTTTACACGTGTGGTGTGAGTGTGTTTTTTTTTTATTTTTTAAATTTAAATTAACGAAAAAAAGAAGAGTAGTATATATACATTGCCTCGATAGAATTATTGTTATCATTGCCGACACGATCTACGTCGCGAACGTGTATGTCTTTAAAGATTTGTATCGAATTTGGAAACGTTCAGTGAGGCAATCGTATCCTACGGCGTTTCAAATGTGATGAAACAAAAAATTCAAATATAGAAAGCTACTTCTCCTCTCGGACACTTTACTTCGGCTGCAACGATATGACTTGGGAAAAGTTCTCGAGACCGTCGTACGTCGCCGTACATCTACTTCATCGTTTTCCGTCTGATAGATGATGTGGCACAACGCGAATAAACATGCACGTAGACTTCCTCAGTCGTTGTAAAAGTTGACGGACAAGTACACGCTTACGTCAGCCAATGTACACTCCATCCATACCAGTTCTCTTTAAGTATCCTACCTTGCTTTCACCTCGCCTGCAATAGGATTATTGTTGGAATGAATTCTAAAAGATGCATTCTGGTGCGATAACTTATCTCAGGAGACTCCCAATTATCTTTGACGCAAACTAATGGCATTGTTTTTTTAGTTTTTTGTTAGAAAATAATTGCTCGCGATGATATATGATGAATTTTTTACAAAAAACTGTAATTGATAAAAATTATAGCTTTATTCAACGACTAATTTAACGTTGAAATTATGTTAAAATGATAGTCGAAGATTTGTCAACAATTTATATCATGTTCCATATCAATTCGATCAGAATATCAACTTTATTTCAACATTTAGTTTTCGACATAATTGAATCATATCAAATATATTTCTGATTGGGTAAGAATCACGCCGCGGTCGACCGGTTAGGCATAACTGATATAACGCAATAATTTTTTGATATCTTAATTACTCTGACATATTATTATTATATTCGAAAGATTCGAGAGAATTAAAAGACATCTGTAAAAATTAAAGTATGGAGAAAACAAGAGTGATTGAAAGAGTATTTTTATTGAACGGATATTTTCAAATCTTTGATCGAGACACTGATAAAGAACGTGTGCTATAAAAAGTATAATAAATGATCATGATTTTTTACGATTAATCGCAAATAACATGAAGAATGATATACTAATAATATAATCGAACAGCGATCCGTACGTTTCTTTTATCCGCATGACGTCAAAGTCTACGAAATAGCCTTGTATAGCACGCTAAATATTATGCTTCGTATTTAGCTTATCATCATTTGCGTTCGAATAAGATAGAGGATTATTGTATAATAAAAATTAATTCTTCGTGTTGTGGACAGTTTTCTTTCGGTTCATACGCATTTACGATAATATATCTTGGTTCTAAAACTCAAACCACGTACTCATTGATTATGGATATCGCGGACTACTTGTTGAATTAATAATCACTTTGTTGATTTTATTCGAAATAATAGAGGCTTGTCCGCGGAAATTGAATAAAAATGATTGTATAAAAGTCGACAATATTAGCTCGGTATGTTATATATCCGTTTACGATTAGATAAAATTGACGTTCCTTTTATCGATGAAATCATCAAAGGTTACTGGACTTAGTACTCTTCGAGTGTAGCTAAAATAATACAATCTTGTTGACGCAAAGTGGATTATTTTTCTTAAAAACCTACGCTTCGCATAATAATAGGATACTACTGCGTTTGAGCATTTTCTTAGTTTTTTTAGTATATCTTTCTTTTATAAATTAAGTATTTGTACTTCTTTCGCTGATTTGATTGTGTTATTTGAAATGAAATATTAAATGTTATTATATTGTTAATATATTGTTAATATATTATGACTAACTTGTTGTATATATAAATTTAAATAATTATGGAAGAAATTTACATACATATATTTTTGTGTGATTTAAATTTAATTAGGCTGCCATGTTTTTCTTAAGTGTATGATAAAATTTTATATTATACAGCATGATAGTGCACGATGAATGATAAACTATATCTATACACACACATGTAAAAATTTTAAAAAATTCTCTCTTAGTCTTTTATATATACAAAACACTTTTAAATATCATTTTAGAATCTATTACAAAATAAATTCTATGTTACGGACGACTGACACATGGACGACATTTTGCGTATGTATTTAATGTCAATATCGTGCATCAGAATGAAACTCGCATTCCAGCGTTAATGAATAATCGTGAAACATTCGAACAAAGATTTGTCTGATAAATATAAAATTACCTTTGCTCGCGCGCATAAAATGATGTGCATTGATAAACAAGAGACGCATATATCATATATGTAAATTACGTAGCAAATTAATGTCTTGATTCTGACAAACACTTGCGCGTCACATTTATCTGCACAATGTTATCTGCACGAATAATATACATATAAATAAAAAGTAATCGATCATATTCTATAGTAAAACTATCAATATCATTACGTAAAGTGAAAAAAGAAAAAGTGGGACACTTGTAGGCAATTAATAAATTTTTATTTAATATTATATACTCGAATACACATTCTCTCTCTCTCTCTCTCTCTCTCTCTCTCTCCTCCCCCCCCCCCTCTCTCTCATACATGTCTGTTGTTGATGTCAAGGTTCATAATGCGACTTTGTCGCCTAAATAACTCGTAAATAACAATTTTTATCTAATAATTAATAATTGTGTTATTATCGACTGTTATTGCAATAAGTATCGATTCTCTAGATCGTGTTAATTTAATTAATAAAAACTAGTTTTGTACTTTTAATCTTAAGAGAGAAAAAAGCTGATTATTAGCAAAAATTTATAAACTAATGCTATATGAAGGAAAATATTAATTTTATAGTATCAATAAAATATTCCATTTCGTCTTCAAATCGTAGAATAACATTTTGTGATATACGAGTTTGTAATTCTAAGAAAAAATGAGAAAAACGTGACACATGCAGTAATATAATTATATATATGGTAAATCGCATAAAAAACCAGCTTGTTAGCTCAACGTCTCCTGGTTAGAGCGAAATCATAAAATCGCGACCACATTTACCACGATTTTTAATTGACTATTACCTTTTAGAATCAAGATAATATATGCAAATCTTATAAATATGCTGTAAAACAGGGATTATTATTATTCTTGATTATCTGTTATTGCAAATTTCCGCTGGTCTCTAACACTTCACTGGTTCTTCTTTGTTCCAGCAGGTTGTCCGCATCCGTTGAAACGATAGATGATCGTTCGAGCATAATCGCCCCTGTCACTCAACGGGTACGCATATACAGCACACACAACGATGGAGGTATTGATACACGAAGCGAGCAACCGGCAGGAAATCAGGGCGAGCGAGCCGACTTGCACGATTGATCTTAAATCCGCGTCCAAAGCAAAACGAGAGGATATCGATACGCCTCAGATTAAGCATAAAGATAACAAAGAACCAGTCGACATCATCTTCGAGAACATCACTTATACCGTGAACCTCGGCTTTAGGAAAGGTACTTATTCTCTTATCTCTTCAAATAAAGATACCTCTTTTGCGCCAAATTTTAATGCGTATTTTATAAAAGAATTATTAAAAAATATTTTACAAATGTGGTAATATATAATTCAGTCGATTGTAATCAATTATAATAATCGAGTAAAGATAAATGTTAAATGAGGAATTATGAAGTTATACGAATTGTATTTTTAGATATCACCACGAGTGATTTTAAATTCTTAATATTTTAGGCAACAAAGAGATTTTACACGGGATTAATGGAAGACTTCCCAGCAAACAGTTGATCGCTCTGATGGGACCATCTGGTGCCGGGAAATCCACGTTACTCGACATCTTGTCCGGATTTCGCATAACCGGCGTCCAGGGTGTTGTACTAATTAACGGTCGCGTCCGGAATCTCAATTCCTTCCGAAAGTAAGCGGATAGCAAGTTGCAATATATATTGATTTTATTATTTAATTCAAATCCAATATTTTTAATTATAGATATAAGTAATTAACCAGTAATATCTGTTAACAAAATATTATTTTTAATTAATACTGATTCCTGTACGTCTTGCAATCGCTTCGTGCCCTTTTCCCTTTTTAACGCTTCTGTCGCATCCTCAGGTGTAGTGCGTACATTACGCAAGACGATCGATTGGAACCGTTGCTCACCGTCATTGAAAACATGAGAGTCGCCGCCGATTTAAAGCTTCCGTCAAGCACGTCGCGATACGAGAAAGAAATTATTGTAAGTAAAAATTTGTCAATCATCGCACAGAATCATCGAGATGCTTTATTTCAAATCAATATTGATTTAATTTACCATGTTATGAAAAATCCGCTATGATCAAAAATAAAGAAATCATCTAGACTAGTATTATATAGATAATTCAGATTTAAAATGTACAAGTACTTTGTATAATTATTTAATTATTATTTAGAAAATAGCATGGGAATATGAATATTATACTTGTTTGTCTTCATCTGTTGAGTAACTTATATAATAAAAAAGAGATTTAAATTAAATTAAAGTGCATTTTGCAATATTTTTAATATAACTAGTAAAAACCCCATCTTCACACAAGGATAGGCAAAGGATGATTATTTCTCTCTCTATCTTTTTCTTTCTTTTCTTTCCTCCCGCTCCCTCTCTCTATCTCTATCGAGGTGAGAGCAGTGCTTACGCTTTATTATATAAATTAATCAATTATATACGCATGTTTCAGATCGAAGAAATTCTCACGACACTTGGCTTATATGAACACATGTATACGAGGTCCGGTAGATTAAGTGGCGGACAAAAAAAACGGCTATCTATTGCATTGGAGTTGGTCAACAATCCCACGGTCATGTTCCTTGACGAGCCGACAACGTAAGTGCGACATTTAGTATTGGTCTTTTCACTTTATGTCTGACTTTTTTTATTCATTGTGTGTGTACTCTGTTCAAAAATATTAAATAATCGTCTTTTCAAATGCCAACATCATGTATAACGAATATCTAATCTAACATTTTAATAATATCGATAATATGTTATTATCAACAATATTTTAATAATTGCACATTTCTGTGTATTCGCTAATTTTATTTCCAAGCGTGTTTACGTAATCTTTTTTTATCTCTTTTAATCTTTAGTTCATATATTCTGCAAAATATATGAATCGAATGATATTATCTCATCGCTTCGAGCAAAATGTTAACAATTTATTATCGCGCATTTTTAATTTGCCATTTTCCATTGCCATTACTAAGCAGCGCCTTTAATTATTCATTATTTTATCTCGCAATCTTTCTTACTTAATTAAGTAAATTCTAATTTTCAATTAGATACATAATAAAAATGTTTGTTACGCATCTAATTGAAAATCCGAATCATGTCGTGTTTAATGCAATTTGCTACAAAAGTTTCATTAATTCGTTGAAATTATTTTTGAAAAAAGATAAATTAAAAATATAAGAATTTTAGTTTTATTATATTAATAAAAAATATGAAGAAAAATAATACTATATTAAAAATATAATGAGAAAACCGATTTGTTTTACATATCGCAAGTTGTGTGAAAATTGGATTTTATTTCAGATGGTTCTTTTCTTTCTCTCTTTCTCTCTCTTATCTCGTGATAATGTATATAAACATATAAACTCAATTAAAAAACACATTTAATCAAGAAATGTGAGAAATATCAGACCATAAATGTTATCTTTCTCGTTAATTTTATAATAGCTTCCCGTGAGGTCACGTTTGCGATGTGGCATCAATTCGACACACTTTATTTACAACTTACTATAAATATTTTTTTTATATTTGTCATTGTTTTTATTCATTTCAGAGGTCTAGACAGTTCATCTTGCACGCAAGTCGTAAACTTACTGAAAGTACTGGCGCGACAAGGGAGGACAATAATCTGCACTATCCACCAGCCTAGTGCGTCCATATTTCAACTCTTCGATCAAGTGAGTATCACATAAAATATATTGCAAAATTTAATATTACAAGGAGACACACAAGATATATAATTAATAATATAATGTTATATTTTTTAATAAATATCGCGTATCGTGCAATTTTCAATTTTTAGAGAATCATGTATTTATAATCATTAAAAAAAAATAATCCAAATCTCTGCAGGTGTATGTCATAGCAAAGGGGGAATGTCTGTACCAAGGAACAACGAACAAATTGCTGCCTTATTTAGAAAGCATAAAATTAACATGCCCTATGTATCACAATCCCGCCGATTACGGTACGTATAATAATTTAGCGTGCAATTCTCTAAAAAAAATTATTTAAAATATATACGACTCATATCTAGAGTAATCTAGAGTAATATTTAGAATAATATTGCGAAATATGTGCTTGTGCAGTAATTGAACTCGCTTGCGGAGAGTACGGCGAAGATAAAATTGACACGTTGAGAAACGGATCGCAAAATGGAAGCAATTTGCAGTGGTTTGAAAATTCGGCAGATCTGATGGATGCGAAAAGTTTGAGAGGTAGATGGATTGAAAAATAAATTAACGATTACCCACGCAATGAATCGTAATAAAATTTTTGTATTAATTAATATAGATCAGCTTTATTAATTTAATTTATTTCTAGAGCATTCATGTATATAATATATGATCGCTCTTTCAGCGGCGCGTCCTTTGACAAATAAATTCCAAGATAACAGCGGCCTGCACGCGACTAGTCTCGCTCATCAAATCAAAATCTTGCTAAGAAGAGGGTACATCACGTGTAAACGAGATACGGTACGGACGTTGCATATTAATAGGGATTTAATTAGTGACTTAATTAGTGACATAATTTTAATATTATTATTAAATAATATTTTTAAATAATATTAAAATTAGTGACTTAATTTTAATATTGTTATAATATTTCTGTGATCTTTGTCGCTTAAAATGACGGACGCAGAAGATATCCTTTCGAGAATGCAAGAATACATTTGTATATATTTGTTTGCAGACACTGACATATTTACGCATTGCCGTCAACATACTCGTCGGTATAATGCTGGGCTCTGTCTTCCTGCGATCCGGCGCCGATGGTTCGCGCGTTTGGGACAATTACAATCTTCTTTTCTCAATTCTGGTCCATCACATGATGACGACGATGATGCTCACTGTAGTGACGTGTAAGTATTTGTATGAATCATAAAAATATGAAGGTAAATGTGCACTTGAATGAGTAATCCTTCCCGCGCAAGAAATTTTTGCGCAAACGCATGACATAAAAAAAATGTTGTTCTGATGAAATGTTGTTCTTGACTTGTTGTTCTGATGAAATGTTGTTCTTGACTTGTTGTTCTGATGAAATGTTGTTCTTGACTTGTTGTTCTGATGAAATGTTGTTCTTGACTTGTTGTTCTGATGAAATGTTGTTCTTGACTTGTTGTTCTGATGAAATGTTGTTCTTGACTTGTTGTTCTGATGAAATGTTGTTCTTGACTTGTTGTTCTGATGAAATGTTGTTCTTGACTTGTTGTTCTGATGAAATGTTGTTCTTGACTTGTTGTTCTGATGAAATGTTGTTCTTGACTTGTTGTTCTGATGAAATGTTGTTCTTGACTTGTTGTTCTGATGAAATGTTGTTCTTGACTTGTTGTTCTGATGAAATGTTGTTCTTGACTTGTTGTTCTGATGAAATGTTGTTCTTGACTTGTTGTTCTGATGAAATGTTGTTCTTGACTTGTTGTTCTGATGAAATGTTGTTCTTGACTTGTTGTTCTGATGAAATGTTGTTCTTGACTTGTTGTTCTGATGAAATGTTGTTCTTGACTTGTTGTTCTGATGAAATGTTGTTCTTGACTTGCAGTTCCGATGCAGATGTCTATCTTACTAAAAGAAAATTTTAACAGGTAAATATACATAATACAATAGATCTCATCAATTTCATTGCCCACACATAACAGTCGTAAACAAACAGAGGTATGACCTATTATGCATATTTATCATTTTCGTACAGATGGTACAGCTTGAAGGCGTTCTATACCGCTATAACATTGATCGACGTGCCAATTTCGATAATATGCTGCATCGTTTAAAATTAGTGACTTAATTTTAATATTGTTATAATATTTCTGTGATCTTTGTCGCTTAAAATGACGGACGCAGAAGATATCCTTTCGAGAATGCAAGAATACATTTGTATATATTTGTTTGCAGACACTGACATATTTACGCATTGCCGTCAACATACTCGTCGGTATAATGCTGGGCTCTGTCTTCCTGCGATCCGGCGCCGATGGTTCGCGCGTTTGGGACAATTACAATCTTCTTTTCTCAATTCTGGTCCATCACATGATGACGACGATGATGCTCACTGTAGTGACGTGTAAGTATTTGTATGAATCATAAAAATATGAAGGTAAATGTGCACTTGAATGAGTAATCCTTCCCGCGCAAGAAATTTTTGCGCAAACGCATGACATAAAAAAAATGTTGTTCTGATGAAATGTTGTTCTTGACTTGTTGTTCTGATGAAATGTTGTTCTTGACTTGCAGTTCCGATGCAGATGTCTATCTTACTAAAAGAAAATTTTAACAGGTAAATATACATAATACAATAGATCTCATCAATTTCATTGCCCACACATAACAGTCGTAAACAAACAGAGGTATGACCTATTATGCATATTTATCATTTTCGTACAGATGGTACAGCTTGAAGGCGTTCTATACCGCTATAACATTGATCGACGTGCCAATTTCGATAATATGCTGCATCGTTTTCTCAATAATTGTGTATCTCATGTCAGCGCAGCCGTTGGAGTTTATTCGATTCTTCATGTTCCTGGCTATTAGCATGCTGGTTGCATTTATAGGTCAAGGTACCGGTCTCATGATAGGCTCTGCATTTAACGTAGTGGTGAGTGAATAATTAATTAGAATTGTTATTGTGACAATTTATAATAATATGCTATCGTAAATTATTATAACTACATGTAAAGCCATTATCTCTCTAATCTACATGCCTAATTTAAAGGTGTTAATTTTAGAGCTATTCCTTCAAATGTCATCCGCTCTATGACGTCATTTTTCTTTATTATTTACAATTGTTAGTAATTCATTGAGATGAGACATTTGAGTGATATAAAAATCGCATTTAATTCTTTAAATGGAATTTGATGAAAACATCTTGACTGTTAGAATGGAACATTTATGGGGCCAACATTGGCAGTGCCGTTGATGATGTTCGCCGGATTTGGCGTGACTTTACGCGATCTACCAAACTATCTAAAGTGGGGAAGTTACATCAGTTATTTAAGATATGGTCTAGAAGGGTAAGAATTATTTTCCATGTTTCATAAATTCTTTATTTATTGTTTAATAAACAGCAACTTTATACTTATATACAAAAATCATTTTCATATTCACAAAATATCTCTTATTATTTTTTCTTTCTAATAATTTATTTATAATATTGATAGCACAAGTATTTTTACACACAATTTAATACAATTGTGATGTAAAGAGTTATATAAATTTAAAGTATAACCATTATGCGCTTAACGAAAACAAGAGTTTCCTTTCACAGATTCGTTGGAGCCATTTACGGTCTTGACAGACCGGTTCTAGATTGCAAAGAGAAGGGCGAGCTGTACTGTCACTATAGATATCCCTCCAAATTTCTCTCCGACATCGCTATGAGGGGGGATCAATTCTGGACCGACGTTATCGCGCTGAGCACGATACTAATCATTACTCGGTGCGGCGCGTATCTGCTTCTACGATGGAAGATTGTATCGTATCGATAAAGCCGATGTGCTGCGGATGGATCTTCGCAAGAAAATAAAACTATTTTTTTTTTTTCATTCAGATTACACGTGGTTGCGAGTCGTACGTGTTTAATCTTCGAATTTACATCTGAAATGGAAACCGGAATTGTATTCTCGCCAAACCCAAATATTTTCTTTTTCTTTTTCGTTTGATTGAACAATTGATTAGTCATTCATTTTGTCTCTGTCAGACCGTATATATTTTTATTATTATCGAAACTTATCCCCGAGCTGGTATTTATACAGCGAAGGGAGTGCCATAAACTTTTTAAATACTTGATGGTATATAATCTTTTTATATATACATATACATATCTTTAAAATTCATGAGATTGTAATCTCTTGATAGTCGCGAGTGAATGAAAACGTGAGACTGTGTAGGCTTGTGTATGTACGTATATAAACATATCCGGAAATGCATATCGAGATACCGAAGGGTATTGAGAATAATGATGATATAATATACGTACACATCGATATCATTAGCGAACAGTGCGATGACTGTATTTAATCTTTATGCTCGAATGTGATATTATAGATGCTGCATAAGGAAGTTGTGCGTGGTGATATTAATATGGTAAATTAGTAAGATATATTCTTTTAAACTTGAGTTCAATTGCTTCTATTATAGCCCTGACATCTGATGATTTTAAGTCACCCGAGATTTCGATAAGCGAATACGTCAAATGGAGCTGAATCAGGTTATATTTGATAAAATGCGTTAAAGAATGCGATACGCAAATGAAAACGCACGCACGTTTATTAAGTAATTCATATAATATTATTATAATATTTTTCAAGAATTTTGATAGAACGTTTGTCAAGTACCGTATTATCAAAATGTCATTTTCGAATTATTCCAGACATTTGAAGAAATATATTGAATTAGTAAGATGCACTCATTCAGATTACACGTGGTTGCGAGTCGTACGTGTTTAATCTTCGAATTTACATCTGAAATGGAAACCGGAATTGTATTCTCGCCAAACCCAAATATTTTCTTTTTCTTTTTCGTTTGATTGAACAATTGATTAGTCATTCATTTTGTCTCTGTCAGACCGTATATATTTTTATTATTATCGAAACTTATCCCCGAGCTGGTATTTATACAGCGAAGGGAGTGCCATAAACTTTTTAAATACTTGATGGTATATAATCTTTTTATATATACATATACATATCTTTAAAATTCATGAGATTGTAATCTCTTGATAGTCGCGAGTGAATGAAAACGTGAGACTGTGTAGGCTTGTGTATGTACGTATATAAACATATCCGGAAATGCATATCGAGATACCGAAGGGTATTGAGAATAATGATGATATAATATACGTACACATCGATATCATTAGCGAACAGTGCGATGACTGTATTTAATCTTTATGCTCGAATGTGATATTATAGATGCTGCATAAGGAAGTTGTGCGTGGTGATATTAATATGGTAAATTAGTAAGATATATTCTTTTAAACTTGAGTTCAATTGCTTCTATTATAGCCCTGACATCTGATGATTTTAAGTCACCCGAGATTTCGATAAGCGAATACGTCAAATGGAGCTGAATCAGGTTATATTTGATAAAATGCGTTAAAGAATGCGATACGCAAATGAAAACGCACGCACGTTTATTAAGTAATTCATATAATATTATTATAATATTTTTCAAGAATTTTGATAGAACGTTTGTCAAGTACCGTATTATCAAAATGTCATTTTCGAATTATTCCAGACATTTGAAGAAATATATTGAATTAGTAAGATGCACTAATCGTTCATTTAGTTTAATCTTTTGAAAATATTGTGTGAATCGTCGCTCAAGAGTTTCTAAACTTATTATGTATACTTTAAATATTATTATTACAATTATTATCATTATCGCATCATTATTAATACATATATTTTTATGCTATTTATTATTTTACTTTATGTACATTTATGCAAAAAAAAAGATAAGTTAAGAAAGAGAGGGAGGGCAAAAAATTTTGTCCAAACTGTCCTTTTTATATTTTTGCCAATTTTGTCAAATCGGCGGCCCTTAATGACTATTCTCCTAAGATATTTTGGTTTATATGATACTGTTAAATTTAATTTATTTTATTACAGTATATAATACTAATGACTTGCAATATAATCTAATTAATTACAGGAAAAATAAATTTTATTATGTTGTTGTTATATCGACTGTGCGTTATATCTAGACAAAATTCATATTTATCGTTTTTTACATTCTTTCTTATTTCATCATCTCTTTTGTCTGTTCGTTGATAGAGAGAAGATTTGTTCCATGATTAATTTAGATATGCAAAGACAAGTGTGTAAGTACATGCATGTTTATAGAAATTAATTTTATACGTCATTTTCTCGCGTAATAAATTTTCCAACAAAGCACCATGTAGACGATAACGTGCAAACAGATTATCCAAAAGCCAAGTATCATCAAAATTACGTAGAACGACACTGTAGGCATGTCCATCGTCGAGAGAATTGCGTTTGGCGAATGAAGGTAGCAGTAAATTTCTGAGCAATATAAATTCGGTCGGTCAGAACCATAGATCGTTTGCATCATTCCCTCAAATCCGTATCTGCAATAAAAAATCGCGCGATTTTTTTCTTAATTGACTGAAAAAATAGGAATACGCGCATAATCGCTTTGAATTAGCGAATAAAAGTAAAATATTTGTCCACCTGAAAAAGCTCACGGTGCTTAAAGGCTGCAGGTACACCGACATCTCCCCTATTTTTAGAAAAAATCCGGCAAACAGCAACAGTGGTATACTTAATGCCGGTATCAAGAAAACACCTATCTGAAAAAAATTATGCTTATGATTATTTATGTTATTTTTATACTAATTAACAGTATGTAATTCGAATGATACGAACTGATTGATGGACTTTGATAAACTTATTGTTATCGTAAATGAATCATCTGTTAATTTTTATAAAGATACGAAAGATTGTCGTGTTGTGTTGCAGCACCTCAGTGTTGAAAGCCGAACCCGTCAGAATCCCAACTGTTTGTCCAAGAATTGTTATCAATACGCAAATACTCCACGCTTGCAGGAGCCTATCAGACTCCATCGGCTGTCCAGTCACATAATACGATATAAGCAGAAAAGACGAGGAGCAAAGTATCTAAAAATTAAAGTAAATCTTTCTATCCAATAATTTTAAAAGCAAAAGACGTAGAGATGTAAATTTAAAAAAAACAAATATCTTTTTTCATAAAATACGGTTTTTTTTTTGCGAAACAAAAACAACAGGCCTCGTTTATTTTTTAAAATTTTGTTTTCTTCAGATATTTATATACTATTGCAAGTTGATTTTTTATTATTTTTAATTTCAGATGATAGATTTGAACTAACCATTACTATTTTAAATGTAGATCGCCTTCCAATTGGCTATATAATTATGCAATGATTATTTTTAATTAGATAAATTCTCTGTAAAAACATATCAAAATTTAATTTGAATGAATTGTTTTTATCATAAATACAAAAACACAGTTTGTAATTTTTAAACATTTACTTCAATCATTATAATAAAAAAACTAAAGTTCCTATATTTTTAAATTATTTTTTTTTTCAAAAGTTATTTTAATGAAAAAAAAATGTTTTTTTCAACGTTTGTTTTCTATTCGGAAAAAAACCGGTTTTTTTACAAGACGTGCATAATTATATAACTCCTAATACAACAATATAAATATAGTAAGAAAATTATTATGATTGGGATATATGTATATTAGAAAACGTACTTGCATCGGAAGATCCGTTAATATTTTTACGCTATAGTAAGCTCTCAAGGAGTACCAATTATTTAAATGTTCCTGTAGGAACACTGCCGCTTCCGTGGGAACTGTAATCATGCGCATATAAAATATCATGCTCTTTTAATACGATATAACTTTATGAAACTCATGCGTAAAATCTATGTACAATATTTATCACGATGCGAGCACCGTGTAAATTTGGAATATTGCTATAAAAATGATGATATTTTTAACTCGGAACAAAACCTTTCGATAATATTTAATTTAGTTATTTGCCAATGAGAGAGAAAATTGCGTAAATTATAACGTTATACTTAAAAGTAGAAAATATTAGGGAAAGGATCTATGTTACTTACACATCTGCACTGCTGGCATCGAATTTGAGAAAAATAAGAACAACAGAAGAAAGAATAAGCAAGCTACGTTGCTGTTGACTTTTTTCGCATCATTGCCAAAGTCGTAAAAAACCGCCCCCAGTAGCAGTGCTACTATGACATGTGCCGCGAATCTTAACATCGTCATGGTCTGAAAAATTGAAGGAAACATGAACAGTTTTAATTTCGTACGAGAAAATTGTCAGCGTTTCTTAGATCTTTACTCACGCTGTCTCGTTTGATACAAATTAAAGCCCTTAAAAATAATATCTTTTGTTGCTGCCACATTGATAAGTTTTGCTTTGTATTATTCGCGGATGTAAGTACATCGTCTCTTTCAAAATTCTGTTTAGAAGTAGTTGGCGAATCCGTTTCTGCAAAATTCGTCAAGTGTCGAATTTCACGCTTACTTTTATATTCTTTTGTCTTATATTTTATGATATATCTAAATTTTTTCCATTTCTTTACTGCAATCTAAATTTCCATAGGAATTGACACATATATTATATACAAGAGATAAAGTACACACTTACATTTCCAGACATCGATGCAAGATAAGGAAAAAGAATGTATTGTCATTAATACAAAAGCGAGATAAATGGATTACCGAGATAATAAAGAAAATAAAGAACGAAAAATTTAAGTAAGGATGATCTAAGAATATGAATATATTGTTTATAATTTTTTTACCATTTTTAAGATGTTTATCGTGCGATTTGGATTTTTCATATTCACTACAACAGATCTTGTGTAGACTCTCCAAATCTCCACCTCTCTGTTCGGTTATTACCTCGAGTACTGCAATCATAGGAAACAACGTTGCATGTCATTACATTGTCCTTAATTTTTCAAAGTTAATAATACATTTCCACTTGCTTCAATGGCAGATTTGAATAACAAAATATTCATTAAAAAATTAGATAACAGGAAAGAGAGAGTAATAGAGTTCATACATTATCTTTTAAAAAAATTAATAAAAAGAATTTGCTATTTGGCAAAATTTTCGAAATTAATCAGAGAGAGAAATCTAGATCCCAAAATTATATGAAAAATAAAATGCGATGAAGAAAAATTAAGAAAACGCAAAAAACTGGGATGCTATCTGGAAAAAAGTAACAAAATTCTGAAAAAAACGAGGCTTGTTTTTTCACAAAAAAAAAAGTATTTTATGGAAAAAAAACATTTTGCTTTTTTTTCATTTACATCTCTAATTGTGTTATTAGCCAGATTATATGATTCATAATTTCAATGGCTACTTCTTTTCATCGTTCTCGTACTTACAATCAGACGAGCGATCATTTGCTCGCTTTGCTTAACGAGCTTTAGGCGAGCCGCTATGTAGAGGGTTTCTCTCGTCGTGAGGAACGGCAGCAAAGCGAATTCTTGCGGCACGTAACACATCTGTTTACGAAATGTTCCTCTGTTTTGTTTGACGCCGTTTACAATGACGGTGCCGTCGACGTTGGTCCATCGTTCGCCCGAGATGATTTTCAGCAACGTCGTCTTTCCCGCGCCGGAAGGACCAAGTATCACCGTGATCTTCCCTGGTTCGAAGTGTCCGGTCACATCGCGTAAGATCGTTTTCTTGATTCCTATCGTTAGACATTTCTTCGTTAATAACTCGTTGTCTTATGTATAGATAAGGGTGATGAACGGATGAAACACTTCATTATTATCACAAATGAAAACTTTACGGCATCATAAATAATGCTATTTTTTTATTAATACTTTTTTTTCTTTTTATTTATTTACAGATTGGTTTTTAATATTATATACGTTAGTATTCAAAAAGCAACATTTGTTTTACGAGTTGAAGTATATATATCGCAAAATTGATCGCCTCTCATTTATATCACTTATCAATTTTGAGCGAATAAATAAAAACGCAAACTAACTGTGGCTTGCTACTATTTGTTCTAATTGAAAGAAGTTAAATCCCAGTGCAACTGATTTTTTTTTTTATTTTGATAATAGAGCATGTAGCAAATAATTTAGTAGAAAAAAATTGACATAAAAGTAACTTTTAATAAAGCTATCAAGTGTCAAAAATAAACTTCTATACTGCGTTCACGGAGAGAACGACCTCGCTCCGCGCAGCTTTGGGCGGAGTGAAGATTAGGTGAGAGACTTCAACGTGCTACTTCAATGCCGTATGTCGTATGCGTATCGATCGTATATCACGTATATGATCCGCTTATAAAGTTCGAAAGAAATGTCATAATATTGAAAGCTTGAATTGTTCTCTATTAATCGAATTTTATTACTCTTTTTAATTAAATCGCGATATATCTATTATATTTATTTTCTCTTTTTGCAATCTAAAAATTATTAATAAAATTTAATACTATTATAAATAAATAGGGTCCCCTCTGTCGGCTAGCCGGATCTGCAAGTTGCAAGATCAATTTTGGCAGCGTGGAGAGGGCAAAATGAGCGGTCGGTCGGGCGGGATTTGACCGAACCGGACGAAAAGCGAGATCGTTCTCTCCGTGAATGCAGTATAGAAAAAAAACCGAGCAGCTTTTTCTAGCCAAACTGGTTTATTTGAGAACCAAAAGCAAACAAGATTTACAAGAACTAGAAATTTAGAAGCATTATGCGACGATCTCAAAAAGATTTTGTAATATCAGCTAACATTTGCATCACAGAATGATGCATGTAAATTTGAAAGAATAAAATTTGCATATCAATCTATACATTAAGACTTAAATGATATAATTACCTAATTGCAAAAAATTCTCAAATTATAATAAATTATAATGGTAATTTAAAATAAATATGCAACAGAAATAAGATAATTTGTTATAAATGTTTTGCAATAATTGCGCTTATGTAATAAATACGCTTTGTAATTACAACGATTTTATCCTGATAATTAAGTTTTTCATGTTATAAATAAATAAAAAAGTATTATACTTACATTCCAAAGAGACGCGTGAAATAGACGGTTTAAAAGTAAAATATTACAATTAGAGATTATTAAATATGTTTTATAAATGCCTATACATTGCAAAAAAAAAAACTGATAAGTTATAGCTCTCAACTTATTTATGTTATTTGCAATAACTGCAAACATATAAAAACCAATATATCTAAACTTGTTTGTCGCGGAAGTTATTTAAGCATTAAGAGGATGCCGGATACCGACAGAATGCGAATATTAGTAGGATTGCAAAATATTTTTGTTGATTATAGATATCAACAAATCCTTTTCCATAATTAAAGTATACATAATAACGGAGTGCGGGGTTTATGATTTCATATGAAAAGTAAAAAAAAAATTAAAAAATTACAGTTTTGTTATCGGCTTCTGCCGTCAACATTTACTTAATATAAAAAACCTGCAACCTGCACGTGCCTAACAAGTGAACTCCGCACTCGGCATTTTATCAAAGAGTATTAGTGAACTTCGAGAAGTAAGTTTAGAAGCTTTATAAAAAAGATTTTACTATGCAACATTTTGCACACCGAAATGTTTCTTACTAGGCTTTCAAATACATTTTCAAACGTTCACTTATATTCCTTCATGCATTTCCGAGTGGAGAGGTATCCTATTTTGCACGTACACACCGCAAAACCCTTATATTAAGCAAATATATAATTATTATGGCCGGTAAAACAGGACGGTCCGGCATCCTCTTAAAGCCATTATATCAATTTTTCTTGAGTTTTCTGTATCCAAAAATAAGGATGATTAGCTACGAGCGGATATAGAATTGTCGTAATATAAATTTGTTGATTTCGCATAATTTAAAATGCCATAAAAGTATGTAAAGAGCAAGTTTTGATATTTTCGTGCCGCTACGCATGTGTAAAATGATGAAAAAAAAAAATCATTTTATTTATAAAATTTTAGACTTGTAAAATATATTTTAAGTTAGACTGATTCTTTTTTAAATGATGTGAATGATAATACAGTATATTATTAGATAGTATTTATTTATTCCTGTCAACCTAGATAGTATTTATTATATTATGTATCTATTCATATATTCCTTAATCTTACAATTAGCTAATCTAAATAGTATCTATCTATTTCAGACTAAAATTAATATCGATACATTCTGAAAGTAACATTGAAACGTTGAAAATGATTTCTTTTTAGGTCGCATGTGCGTATGACTTATTAAAATAAAGATAAAGGAAGAAAACAAATTTTCGACGACTCTGATAAATGATTAAGAGTTGGCTAACATTTCCATAACAGATAACCACTCTAAATGCACTCGCGCATAAGATACCCGAGTTTATTAGAGACGCGGATCACGAGACGCAAAAATGTAAAGACGCAATCGCATTGTACGTTTACGATAGGTTGAAGCGAATGATAACAGCAAAATAGATAACGCCAGATGTAAAAGTTACAACATCAGGCATATCTCTTCTAAGACTGTCTGAAGAATTGTACAAGTAAATATCGCAATATCGGTTAGTACGCTGTCAGGAGAGATTGGCACTTTCTCATGGAGAAAAAGAGAACAATGTAAAATAAACGTATATCTTTACCGTTACGGAAAACTGAATAATTGAGATCGTTGAATTCGATACGCAGTTGTGACTTCCGTTGTGACTCGGGCTTCATCAGCTCTTCCGTTTCGCATAATTGAATTCTGCAGCCTTCGTCGAGCATGTTGACTGTTGTCGCGTCATTTTTATTATTATCTCTAGCTTCCAGCATCTCTCGCGTCGTACAACCGGCCATCCACTCCGTCAATTGATTAAATTGAATGCTCAAATTGTACAGATGAATTCGCAAGCGAGCATAATAAAAATATGACGATTCTCTTTAGATTCTCTATCGACGACGTATGAACGACACACTTTCGATCCAACACTTTCAATCGACTCGTTGCTCGCTGGTACTTGCACAAGTTTATAATTCCTAGTCACCTTTTACTTTGACACAATGAAAATTGAGTATACTCGTGAAGTATCAGTCGGGAAGTATCACTCGTGAATTCCCAGCCACAACTGTCGGATATGTAGGCTGTGTAGTGCTGTTTTATTCGCTGATACGGTTCCACGCACACATGATATTATAAATACTGAAACGATTATGCTTTACTCGCGTAATGGATAATCTTATTCAAGTTTTTTTTAAGCAATACCAGTCTGCATTTGTAATACGAAACTATTACAAGATATCGAGATTTATCTTACAAAATAAATGAGAGACAACATTAACAGTAACAATAAACGTTAATTACATTAATAAACTACGATAATAATTGTTATTATTCTCAAATAAATCATTTCTTTTTCAAATCTGTTACCATTTTTTTTTTTTTATTATCAAGAAATAACTTGAGATAAAGATTCACACAGTTTCAAAACATTTGTAAAATTCAACATTTATAAAATTCAGAGTTTCACACATTTATAAACTTGTTATATCATGCATTTATGGTAAGATATATGTATATCAGAATGTCGATATTTATCTGCTTCTCCAATTGACATACACATTTTAAATAATCTCTAGATATTCCGATAAAGATTATTTACATTTCAAACTATGCAAAGCATAAAGTAAAAAAGCTATTTAATTATTCAACATACACAATAAATGATTATGTTTTGTAGGAAAAATACAAAGTTCGAGATGCAGAAAATTCTACGTTTAATTTTTCCTCAAAATAACATACACTTTTTATATACAAACGTATAAATGTTTATTACATTTTTTACTGAAGATCACACAATAAATTTTGCATATTGTTAACGACAGACGCAAGAACACTCTTTTCATGGTAAATTTTCGCAATAAAAAATCTTATATGATTCTTACATAACATATATTATATATATATATANNNTATATATATATATGCAGTTTATGACACAACATAAAATTTAATATTCTTCTAAAAAAATTACTTTTTTACTGTTTTATCAAATATAAATTTTTTAATCTCAAAATTTGTCTTTCTAGTCACATTTATAAAAAAAGAAACAGCATATTATATGATGGCGGAACTTCAATTCTATTCGCTTTGAGATGAAAATATATATTTTGATTACGATTGAATTTAACAAATCAAATATGCACGTATATTATTCGTTTGTCAACTATAATAATTATCCGATAATTATAATTTTCTTGCATACATGTATATTACAATATATATTATATGCATGTATATTACATAAGTGTGATATAATTGCCTAGATTCGACAAGAGATAAGTCAGTCTTAAGGAGTAGACCCTCTTGGGACCTTTTATTTACACAAGTAGCCCGCCACACGTATTTGCAATACTTATATAAATTTTTTCCCTAAATCACATTGTATTACTATATGCGTTTCTTAACTCTTATATTCAATATAATATATGCCACAATATCCAAGGTAATACACATCAGTATCAGTATTGTAATATTGTACCAGTAGTTTACGTCCTCCATATCCAGTTCCGCGAGGAGCTTTTCGGGGATAGCGAAATGACAGTAATCCGCCGAGCATTTCAATTTCGCTCGATCGTAGCTACGATTATAAATTACATTTTTATATTTTAATAGTTAATTTAAGAGGCAGGAACTCAGAATACGTAATATAGATCTATTGAGAATAGGGATTAACCGGTCTTCGGCTGTCAAAATATCAAGGTGAAAGGGAAACAGGTCTTACCCATAAATCGCTGTCATGACTCCCTCAAAAGCATATCTCAGAAACGACATGCGAAACAGCCAATGTAAGTAGGGATGTGCATCTTTCAGTCGCACGAAAAAACCGCTAAATATCAAGAACGGCATAATCGCAAACGGTCCAAAAATTACGCTATTCTGAAATAAATCATTCGATAATTTATGCATAAATTATATGTATAAGCAGCAGATGAATCCATTAGTCATACTTTCTTCAATTCTCTCAAGATAAAAGGAAAAGGAAAAAAAATAAACAATATATATAGTCTATTACTCTAATTTCGTTAAAAACTCTTTCTCGATAAAAATGTAAATTTATAATGATAAATTAATTTCGAAATAAAAACGAGTGAACAAACCTGAACTTTTAAACCAGATCCTACAATAAGCCCGGCCGCTTGACCGACCAAACTAGTGGCAAAACACATGAGCATATATAGTCCAAGTCTTCTGCTTTCGGGAAGCTGATCGCTCATGTAATACACTACGATGGTATAAATGAACGTGGCAATAAATTGGACGAGAAAATCGGCCAATTTATTCGCCAGATAGTACGCCCGTAGTTTATACCAACGATTGAAATGCTCGCGCATAAGTATCGGTAATTCCAAAGGAACTGCGCGTAAAATTTAGTGGTGTCACATTTATGGCGATACATGGAGAGATTTATATCGCTGTATAATATTATCAAATCATAATATTATCAAATATAAAGCTTGTTGCTTTTGTTGAGATTAAATTGCGCTAAACGCAAGTACAAACTTACATGAGATCATTGTAGCGCTAAACGCGTTGTACATGAGAAACATAATGTTGAAAAACAACAGATTAAAATTGTCTAAAGCGTAAGCGGCATCCTGACCAATTTTGAAGTATAAAGTGCCAGTAAGCAGAGCGATCGCCAAGTGCATTGAGATCCGTGAGACTGTTAAGACCTAGACAGACGAGAATTTGAAAAAAAAGAATTTAAAATTTATTAATTTATTGCTACTATATATATACTATCGATATTATAAAATAAATTATATCGATTATAGCATTTATTAATCGATTGTATTTGCATGTTGTAATGTCTGACACAAATTACCTCGATTTGACAAAATTCTTAAATACTATCATTGTATACAAATACAAGTATAGTAAGCAAATTTTGTATATCTTTCATTTCAAAAAAAAAAATTCACTTGGAATAATACAAAATTAGAATGAGAAATTGTTGAATTAGAAATAACAATATCACAGAAAATATCGAACGTATTATTTCAAAGTTAATTAACATATTAATCGCAAATTATATGATAAGTATAGTTTTAAATAAAAAATATTTTAGTAAATTGATCGTATATATATTAGCACCCTATAATCTCTTTATTGCTTATTTATTTATTTAACTAGACACTTATAAAGTTCTCTCTTGCGTAATATGACAAATATATAAATAAGACTCATAGTGTACACATGTACAGTAATGTTACCCTATCGCGAATTAATCTAACTGCGTTTCTCTTGACAAGGACGCAAAGCTGCTTCCAGGAACTGGCGGCATAATGCGGTGTCTGTTTGAATTCCGTTTCGAAAGAATATAATCTTATAGGAGCGTTTTGTTGCGGGATAATAATTTCTTCGTTCGAATAAAAAGTTTTCGTTGACCTCCATACATTACTTTTGCCATTCTCGATCGATTCGACTAGCTTGGATATGTGAGAACCATAATCGCCATTGCATATTTCCATCACTGTAAAAAAAAAAAGAGAATTTTAAGCTACAAGTTAATTTATTTGCGCATGAAAATTATTTGCGATGCGTCCTATAATCTACTTATGTATAGCACGTTGAATTATTTGATTCACATTTGAGAAAAAAATATTTCGGTTCTTCATTTGCACAGCGCGAATTGAACATCAATTAAGAGGCAAAATTCTTTCGCAGATAATTTACAACATGTCTAATTATATTAATTATATAATAAATTATATATACATATATTAGAATATCAAAGAGTGTATCGATTTTTTATTCATTTTATATAGAATCGATTAAATAGCTTAAAACTTACAGAAATCAACGGGATTATAATGTGTTGGACAGTGTAATCCTAGACTACTTAAATATGGTACCAAATTGTGTGTGCTGCCTGTGTAAACGCAATTTCCATCAGCGACTACGTAAAGATGATCAATCATGTTGAAGATATAGTCCGTCCCTCTTGCGCTAATTGCTTCAAAAGCGCTAAGCATTGCTTTGAAGTAACGCTATCTAAACCACTGAAAAGAAATAACATTCAAATACAATCGTAGATACAATATTGATATGGTCAAGAGATAAAAAATAACAGACGAGATAAACATCCGATATTTACCTCGTAGGTTCATCGAGGAACATGACTGGCGGATTATTGATTAGTTCGAGCGCGATGGCGAGTCTTTTTCTTTGACCTCCGCTGAGGTTGCCGGTAAGCGTATAACGAGACACATCGAGACCCATCACTGTTAATATTTCGTCGATCTAACGTAAAATTAATAAACTATTGTGATTGATGAGAGCGTTGTTACAATCGCATCCCATCTATTAATTGCGAAAGGTTTATTAAATCTTTTTTATTGTAAAACAAGAAAAATCATCGTTTCTCCGTGAAAAACGATTATTTTTATATACTCTCTCTCTCTCTCTCTCACGTTGGATAACTTCTTCACTAAGAAAGATATTTTATAAATAATACGTTCGATATGTTGAAAAAACTTACCTTCTGCAATTTCTGACATCGGTTCAATTTAAGTTTGAGATCGGCGGCGACGAACATTGCCTCTTGCACCGTTAAAAGCGGTTGTAGATTGTCGTCTTGCATTATATAGGCGGACAATTTTCGAAATTCCGACATATTTCTTTCCCGTTCGTTCAACAGGATCTTGCCGGTGACCGATGTTGTCCTGAGATATAATAATCTGTTGCTGACTTGTATATATATACATAATTCATGTATCAATATCTATTTATATATTACACGGCCGTATATAAAAATTTATAATTAATAATTAATTGCCTGATTAATGAAAATTATAAATACACACACATACAATAATCACTATTATTATATTCGAAGAAATATGTATATAGAGTTTTGTAAAGCCCGTATCAGACTACGCATTGAAAATTGAAGATTGAAGATTAAAGATTGGAATTTGACTAATCAGAACAAAAGGGACTAAAATTT